CTGGTGCTGGGAGCTGAGATGATGGTGAAGGAAAAAATATTTTACCTTAGTGACACTGTTTTCCCCCAAACATGCAGATTCTTGCCATAAGCAAAGCCTTTCATTTGAGAGCAGGGTCCTTGTCAGCTTTATTAAGACGGCAAAATTAACTCTTGCAGAGAGTTAGCTCATCATAATTAATCATCGTTGCGTTATGAGATTCTCTATAGCCTCCAGTGTTTGAGGGCTGCTGAAATAGTTCATTTGCTTAACACTTTTCTTGCACAGGGGTGATTTTCACAGACTATTTATGCTCCTTATTTTCCAAGTGCTTGCAGAGAGTAGTGGGCAGAATGGAGACTTACTCTCACTATCCCTGCGTTACCTAATGGTCTGAATACGATGAATTCGGGAGCAGAAGCGACGATGTCTGTGTTGGCTGTTGTGAAGCAAGGATGCATGCTGCCTTGGTAAAGTGGCTGCTTATGAATAGATAAATCGCATGTCAGCTTTAACTGGGGTTAAAGAGTTAGGTGGATTTTAAAATAGCATTGTCCTGGGCATTGGAGCCAATGATCAATAAAACATTAAGCTGCGATGTTAATTAGACGTCAGATATCTTATGTAATTACTGTGAGAAAATTGTGGCACTACAGTAAAGGACCTGCTAAGGAGGAAAGTTGAATGTTTCCTGAGATGTTTAATTAGTTGCATTAAAGAAATTTGCCTGAAACGCTTTTCGGGAAGACTTACATTTCTTAAAGAGCTGAATGTGCTTTTTTGAGGATTTTTTGGAGATGGCAAAGTTAGCTTCAGAGGATGGTGTCCTTATGGGAGGTGCCAACGTAAGGCCCGCAGGCTGAGCATGCTGTAGGTGTACAGCTCTGAAGGAACGGTCGGTGATTTTGCATTTCAGTAACGTAGCTGTTTTAATGTGACATGCAGAGGCGTCGCTGCTGTCGCCGCAGCGGAGGGCAGCCTCGCGGGGGTCTGGCCGTGCTCCCTCTGAGGCTGATGGAGAGGCACAGTCCCCTCCTCTGGCCTTGCTACCTCCAGTGTCACTGGTTTGGCAAGAGAAGCGAAGTCTGACAGCTCATCTTCCAAATACACAGCACCAAGGAGAAGCCAAGTTCAAGCTCCTTAATCCCTGGCTTCATCCTGTGTAGGACAGGCTTCGTTCCTTTACATATGTCCTGCTTAATCCAGCCGGCCGCAGCGTGGAGGAGACGGCTGCTTTCTGATGTCTGATACGTAGGTAGATTTTGGTGCCTTTTCCCCAGGGTGGGTGCTGAGAAGACATCTCTCCTCAGACAATTTCCTTGAAATTTGCAGGAATTTGATACTTCAACCAAATTAAATGATGTGCTTGGGTTTGTTTCTGAGGTGCTTTTCTCCCTGGCCCTCGCTTTCATCTTTGGTCCCCTCTGCATATTCACGCTGCCTGTGCTCTGGTGGTGGGCACGCAGGGTGAGAGGCTGAAATTAGCCCAAACCATCTCAGCGATAAAGACCAGTTTGCAAACAAAATAAATACAGAAACTCTCCAAGCCTGTGTTTCCTCTACAAGTGCCGAAGGATGTTTCTAATCAGATGTGTGATAAAACGGGGAGAGTCCCTCATGCTTATCAGAATAGTTGAAGTTTTCGCCTATCCTTTCTGCTCCCTAAATCCCATCAGCTAATAATAACGAATACCTAAAAATTGCTTAATTTAAGAGCCCTGAAAGGGCCCTGTATGTGGGATAGCACTGAGTCCCACCCACAGAAATCAGAATCTCTTTGAAGCCGCCTTAAATTAGAGGCTGAAATCAGAGTGCAGGCATGGGGTCTCTTTCTTGGGGCTCTGAGAGCTGCTGGCTCTTTGTAGATGGGTTGTAGCGGGCGTTCATTGATACCTGGTGATACCAGATGAAGCCTGCGGCTCTCACAAGGCAAACCAAGCCATTTTGGGGAGTTGTTGTAGATTTGCCCCCAAGGCTGCCTGTCTGCCTGCTCTCCCTCACTGTCCTGCATGAGGAGCTCACAGCGCCGCCGTGTCAGGCTGCTCCGTTGCTCATCTCTGTTCGCTGGGGTTTTTCTGGGCTTGCAGGTTCCCAGAAGTCTTTACAGCTTTCCCCATCTCGGCTCTGCTCCCTGCTCCTCCGAGAGGCACCTTCTCTTGTGCTGCCTCTGTCCTCTCCGGCTGTGTTTGCAGCGAGCCGTCGTGCAGCCGTGGCACCCATGGGTTCAGGACTCTCCTCCGTCTGTGCTGTCACATCTTCCTCTGCTCACACCCTAACAGCAGCAGCACCAGGGCCGCAAGCAGCTGCTGCGTGACACCCATGGGTGCTTTCCCTCTGTGCCGGTGAAGACCCTGTCTTCTCCAGCTGGCACAGCCAGGAGTGGGGCTGGTGAGAGCTGTGGGATCCTGAATCCTGTTTCGCTGGAGCTGTGACTCCCCTTTCCTGGGGTGTAGGACAGCACAAGAACATTTGTTTAGGGGAGTCTGTTTTCAGCAGATCTTTGCAGAAGGCATCAGGGAGCAAACCTTGGTGGGGCAGGGTGACAAGGTGAGGTCCAAAGAGGTGCCCTGGGTACGGGCAGGGAATCGAGCAAGTTGGAGGCTGGCTGTAGGGCAGTGTTTTCTCTTAATCTCTGCTTCCATTGCATGACCTCAAAACCTGCAGTGCCACCTCTAAGCTTCTGGCAGGGCTTCTCTCCACACTGTCCATCATACCATGGAGCCCTGGCTTGAAGGAGAATCTGTACCCAGCATTGTGAAAATGCTGACTGAAAAGCCTCCCCAGAGGGCTGCTACCCCCTAACTAGTCCAGGTACCTCCAGTGCACCAGGAGAGAGTTGGTGTTGCTGCTTTTCAAGGGAGAATTGTAGGCGTTTGGGAACAAGCTTGAGGCAATTCCCCCGTGTTGAGGAAGAGATACTGTCTTTAATGACATACGAGAACCACTACTTAAAAAATATTTTCTTAATTGTGCATCTTGCGACCCAGGCAGGAGCATCCATCTTCATCAAGCATCCTTCAGGAGAGTGCCTCGGTACAGAAATCGGTGGATCTGTGGAGAAGGGAAGTTCTCAGTGTTTCTTTGGTGAAGGTTGCTCCTGTGTTTGTCGAAGGCAGGAGCTTTATGGACCATACCTGATCCATGCTGCTCAGGGGATAGTTGCACATCATCCGTTTCCGCACATTATCTGTTTCCACACCTTCCATCGTGGTTTTGCCAGCCTCTCTAGCAGGAGACAGCAGGTCCCTGCTCTGCCCCAGGGACCCAGAGGATGCTTGGGGAAAGAGAAACTGTTTAGCAAGAGCAGTGCAGGCTCTCTCTTCTCTCCGGCTGCAGTTTGGGCACCGGGCAGCCCTGTGAGGTGAAGAGCTGCCCCTGGAGGGACACACACCAACCCCCCCGCTGCTATGGCTGGACACTGACCCCTTCCCTCGTTGCTCTGTCCCCAGTAAAGGTGCGGTGCAGGCTGTTCAGGCCCAGAACCAGATCTGCGTCCTCGACATCGACATCCAGGGCGTGAAGAACATCAAGAGGACAGACCTGAACCCCATCTACATCTCCGTGCAGCCTCCGTCCATAGACATCTTGGTGAGCGACCGCCTTCCTTTGCCGTTAGGCAGTTAGAGGTAATCAGCGTCTTGCTCTGAAGCGATGGGGGTTCCCCCCTCGTTGATTCATCTGTGTGTTTTTAAGGGCCATAGAATAGGGTGGGAGGATGTTTCTGAGCATGATTACCTCTGCCCAGTCAAACTCCCCAGCCTCTGGCTCCCAGGGATAAATCTTCCTGTGCCCTGTTTTTTCAGTCCCTCCTGGACAGTTTCCACACCTCGGCGTGTTTGCCTGTGTTGGGTTACAGACTCTGTTGTAGTGTGGCCAGCCTTAAAAGTCATTAGTTGTGCTTATGCTGGGGAGAGGAGATTTTTGAGCTGAGACTTGCCTCCAGATATGAAAGCTAAACCGAGGGAGGGTGGTTCTCTGTGGCACCACAAATCCTATACCCCTCTGGTCTTATGGGGCCCTATGTAATACCGTAGTGTGCCTCTGGGAGAAGTGAAATCACTGGCACAGTTCAGGGAGGGATGCAGACACACAGAGCGTCACAGAATGGTTTGGGATGGAAGGGACCGTTAAAGGCCATGCAGTCCAACCCCCCTGCAATGGGCAGGGACATCTCCAACCAGATCAGGTTGC